TACGTGTCTTTTTAAACAGTCAAGGAAATCCTGTAATGTCGTCTTCTACAAACATATAACCAAAAGAGTAAAGAAAGAGAAAACAAAATGTCATGAAAGCGGAGAAGTAAGATAGCTAATTTTTTTTCGGTAAGATCGAATTCATTAATAAAATCAATTTGACGCTATAATCGTTTGTTTTTCTTTCATAATTCCGTTTATATACAATAACAAAACACATCGACATGATTATTATCTAAATGTGAGTGAACGACGGAGTTAATCAGGAAAGATATAAACAAATAAATCTTTATTTTTGAGATTATGTAACTGTTATATAAACTGAATATAGTGTCGCTGCCGACACTTTAGTTTGAACATAGATCGCCAGTGAGCAAACGCAGGCGATCCTATTACTGAATTAAGTAGATCACGTGACCATAGAGGAAACGCCTATATATAGGAAGTAGCTGGCGACTAACGATCACCATTTCTAGTCTATCCTTTATTAATATTTGGATCTCCATTTCTAGTCTATCCTTTATTTCCATACGGACCGCAATTCTCTACTCTATTCACTGTACTATTTTTGTATTCGGATCAGTATACAAATTACTTTACGAACGAGTATTATCGAATAAGTACTATTTGCGCGAGTGATATTTGAAGGCGTCTGGCACCAGTTTTGTTCAACGGCTTACTATAGTTGTATCTGCGATTACAAAGTCTCTACTACTATGAGCATTACAAATGTGACAACGTGTATTCGTTGGCATCACAAAAGGAGTAACGAGTGTTTATGCACATCACAAAAGTAACATTAGTGGTTCGTCTACTTTTTCTTTTAACTGTGAACCTTCAGGAGGGGGGCAGTTACAATTCTCCACATCTTCTTTTCCTTAATAACTAAAAGCAATGTTTATCCTCTATTGCAGTTTATTAGAATAATCTTAAAGATTTTTCGCAGAAATTTTTGCTTGGACAAAAATAAAAATTATTGAAAACATTTCCAGTGAAATTGTTGTCGGCAACGACTTACATGCATTCTCCCTATTTCTTTTCTCACCGGTGATGGAGATGGCTGTGAATCAAAAGAGTCTGAACGGCCATTCACGTGAATTTAATTTTGGCGGACAATTATGCCTGAGGGAGAAGCCCTCAAACCTGGTATGAAGCACTTCCCTCACGGCTCAAATCAATAGAAATTCTGTCAGTAAAAATCATTATTATCTCCCCGTAAAAACAAATAAACTAAACTATGTAGATATTATTGATAGAGAGAGATGCTGTTTAACCCATAGATGGAGAGCATAGTAACGGATTTTCCATTGTACGAATCCTCATTCCGAGTCGCAATCCATTACACCACATGCACCCACACACACACATCCAAAGAGAAAACTAGTAAAGCCTTAATAGTAATTAAGCTGAAAACTAGTTAATGATAATGCAGAACCGGGTTTAGTAAATACTTATAAATAGAAGGCATATCAAATGCTTCTAGTTTTCTGTATTTAAACTACATTGCCACACTGCGATGTGCCTGAGAACAACAAATTAAAAAAAAAAACTGATGCTTCTATAGTGAGTAGAGGATCGCTACCCAAGAGAAATGGTTCAATGAAGAAAGAAATGTATGAGTCTCTTTAATTTGTTTTCAAGAGAGAAAATTATTTTTCACGACGTACAAACATAAATTTAAAAAAAAGAAAACGAAAAATACAACTACCAAAATAAAAAAAATAAAAAAAATTACTTCACACCTGATACCTTTTTCCAGTTATTTCCCCTTTCTTCACTCTCTGGTAGATTAAGTAACATAAATAGTTTGTTGATCTACTTTGTGTTGGGCCATTCACGACAGACGCGATCACAGCTCTCCGCAATTTCCTGTCCTTTGTAGCTCTTAATAATTTATTTTCTTCTCGTTATTTCTCCTACACCATGTTCCACCATCCATTTACTAAAGCTCATTAAGTATTCTATGCTTGTTTTCCTCTGTCCCACTTGCCTTGTGAGTATCTGATTTTCAAAGCCCTCATTCCTCATTATATGCCTCATATTTCAAGTGTCTAATGATAAGTATAAGTTTCTTTTTTGTTTCCATTTTTTCTTAAACCTCGTCGTTACTAACACATTCGGCTCATGTAACGATCAGCATCTTTCTGCCTCAAATCAATTCTGCATCTTTGAGAGGATTGTCCAGTATTCACATCGATATAGGAGGATAGACATCGCGTAACAATTCAGGTTTTAACGTAGCTTTGCTATCGCTTAATACTGTGCTTAGCTTTTTAAATGCATTTTCTGACTATTCCAATGCATCTTCGGTTTTCAATATAAAACATTCGTTGCTATATCTGTCTATATTTCTGAGATGAGGTATTATGTACACTATTTACATTATTCGGACTCTTGTCCTCATCTTTGCTGCCATATTTATCACAACGTTTTGGCCATTGTACGCTTCGGCCTTCCTCAGGTGGTTGGAATGTTGAACTGAACCCTTTACTTCACTCGCTGTAATTCACAAAGAGATGTCCTCAAGGACACATGGCACAGTAGATAAAAGCATTCGTTGCTATATCTGTCTATATTTCTGAGATGAGGTATTATGTACACTATTTACATTATTCGGACTCTTGTCCTCATCTTTGCTGCCATATTTATCACAACGTTTTGGCCGTTGTACGCTTCGGCCTTCCTCAGGTGGTTGGAATGTTGAACTGAACCCTTTATTTCACTCGCTGTAATTCACAAAGAGATGTCCACAAGGACACATGGCACAGTAGATAAAGGCATTAGTTTTATCCATTGACAGGACCGAAAGATCTTTTGAGTTCAATACATGGTTAATTCCGTGGAGAACTTCGAAGGTGGAATTAACAGGAGATAACTGATAACTGACATCTATTAGACATGGCACGTGGAACTAGAACAGTCTACTCCAGCGAGCGAAATAAAGGGTTCATTTCGACATTCCAACCACGTGAAGATGGCCGGAGCGTACAATGGCCGAAACGTTGGGATAAATATGGCAACAAAGATAAGGACAATAGTTCGAATAATGTATTCTCTGCTATGTTAGAATATTACCCAGATATTTACATTTTTGTACTTGTTTGATTTTGGTATCACCAATTTGTAATTTTGAACTCATCCTTTTGCTAACAACAATGCGTTCTGTCTTCTTGCAGTTGATTTTTAATAATTTGCTTCTCGTTTTCCTTCACTAACTTCTGTAGCGGTTCTGTAGTTTTTCTTCCGTGTCTGCTATCAACATTATAAACAGTAAAAGAGAGTTGAATTGTTATGAAATATCAATCCTTCTGCATGGCAGTGAATCTCCTCCCAAATGAAAAGGGCAGATGAGGCAACTGAAATGAAGAACGCTGAGAATGTAATGAACTGAACATGCGGGTAACGAGGAAAATGCAAAGATACAGAACGACACAGCTGAAATTTCTAGGAGATATAACGACACGAGAGGGCTTGGAGAATTTGACACTGATAAAAACTATTAAATGCAAGAGACACACAGTGAATCAGCATGTAAACTGGCTAGCGAGCTCGTGTGAATGAATAGCAGAACAAGCACGAAGAGTGATGGTAAAAAGATAAAGCCAAAAGCTAAATGTATATAGAAGCCATGGAGGAGGAGAAGTAGTAGTAGTAGTAGGAGGAGGAGTAGTAAAAGTATTATTATTAGTAGTAGTAGTAATAGTAGGAGTAGTAGTAGTAGTAGGAGGAGGAGGAGTAGTAAAAGTATTATTATTAGTAGTAGTAGTAATAGTAGGAGTAGTAGTAGTAGAAGAGGAGGAGGAAGAAGAAGAAGAATTAAGAAGAAGAAAACTCGACTTTGTCCGAAACATTGTCACCATCGCCGCTCAATTCAGAGTGGTTTACAACCATTAGATAAAAGGAACTGCTCAATAAAAAAATGTACTCACTGTACAGTTGGCGTCCTATAACTTTTCACTGAGATCAGCCTAATGTGGCACAAGGCTAAGGAAATCGTGCGCCTACTAAAAGTTGAAGACACTAGACTCACTAAATAATACCACGATAGCTGTTTACTACTTATTAGTTAAATTTACTTTAGTCTGGCACAAAGCCAAAATAAAGGCGTACAGGACTGTGGATCGAAATCGTTACATCAGGCAACTGACCGACAAAACTACAAACGACAGCTGTACTCTAGTCATACTTTATTTATTACGCAGAATCAGAAAGGTTAAAACTTTTCGAACACATAATGAGGAAGGGCGGCTTGGAGAATTTGATACTGACAGAACATATTGAAGGGAACATTCGAAGAGCGAAAGAAACGAGGGACATACTTTAAATTCTTTGTGTAAATGGATAAAGGGACAGAGTGGGAAATGATAGTAAAAGCGAAAAAAGAAAACAATGCTAAGTATTACGATGGATAAGAATATATGGAGAACTAAGATCGCCTACGTCCTGAAGAGAAACAGTACATATAAGAAGAATTTGCTTAGAACATGATGATCGATTTTCACTGAAAATCATTTAATTACCGTCACGATCCAATTAACTAGAGTACAATTCAAAAGAAGAAAACTCAGGCTAATTTAACACTGTCTAATTTCCTAATGTATGGCACAATCTTTAATTAGGCCTGGAACATGAATTAACTAATTATTACCAGCTAATAACCCAACCTTGTATTTCTCGTATAAATGAAAAGATACACGCAGTCTTAAATCAATAATGTCAAATTTCTTTTCAGCGCGAGCAGTGACACTAAACCTCTATAATGTAGGATAAAATATATTTTACTCATATTAATGTTTTGAACGAAGGTGACTTTATAATTACCCATTCTTTGTAGATCATAGTGAATTTTCTTTTTTCGCTATCTCTCATAAATCTTTTTCTGTCACCCATTTACACAAGTTCGCTAGCTAGCTTATGCATTATTTTTCTCACTCTCTCCTGTGAGTATCACATTTATATGCAATCTTTCTTCATTCTGAACACAAGACATTTCAACAGTC